TGTCTTAACCTGGGGTGAAGAAGTTTGTCTTAAGCTGGGGTGAAGTAGTCTGTCTTAAGCTGGGGTGAAGTAGTCTGTCTTAAGCTGGGGTGAAGAAGTTTGTCTTAAGCTGGGGTGAAGAAGTTTGTCTTAAGCTGGGGTGAAGTAGTCTGTCTTAAGCTGGGGTGAAGAAGTTTGTCTTAAGCTGGGGTGAAGTAGTCTGTCTTAAGCTGGGGTGAAGAAGTTTGTCTTAAGCTGGGGTGAAGTAGTCTGTCTTAAGCTGGGGTGAAGAAGTTTGTCTTAAGCTGGGGTGAAGTAGTCTGTCTTAAGCTGGGGTGAAGAAGTTTGTCTTAAGCTGGGGTGAAGTAGTCTGTCTTAAGCTGGGGTGAAGAAGTTTGTCTTAAGCTAGGGTGAAGAAGTTTGTCTTAAGCTGGGGTGAAGTAGTCTGTCTTAAGCTGGGGTGAAGAAGTTTGTCTTAAGCTGGGGTGAAGAAGTTTGTCTTAAGCTGGGGTGAAGTAGTCTGTCTTAAGCTGGGGTGAGAAGTTTGTCTTAAGCTGGGGTGAAGTAGTCTGTCTTAAGCTGGGGTGAAGAAGTTTGTCTTAAGCTGGGGTGAAGTAGTCTGTCTTAAGCTGGGGTGAAGAAGTTTGTCTTAAGCTGGGGTGAAGTAGTTGTCTTAAGCTGGGGTGAAGAAGTTTGTCTTAAGCTGGGGTGTGAAGTAGTCTGTCTTAAGCTGGGGTGAAGAAGTTTGTCTTAAGCTGGGGTGAAGTAGTCTGTCTTAAGCTGGGGTGAAGAAGTTTGTCTTAAGCTGGGGTGAAGTAGTCTGTCTTAAGTGGGGTGAAGAAGTTTGTCTTAAAGCTGGGGTGAAGTAGTCTGTCTTAAGCTGGGGTGCAAGAGTTTGTCTTACAGTGGGGTGAAGAGTCTGTCTTAAACTGGAGGTGAAGAAGTGTCTAAGCATGTGGTGAAGAAGTTGTCTTAACTGGGGTGACAGAAGTTTGTCTTACAGCTGGTGAAGAAGTTTGTCTATAGACTGGAGAGAGTAGTCTGTCTTAAGCTGGGGTGAAGAAAGAGTTTGTCTTAAGACTGGGGTGAAGTGTCTGTCTTAAGCTGGGGTGAAGAAGTTTGTCTTAACTGTGAGTGAGAAGTATTGTCTTAAGCGGGTGAAGAAGTTTGTCTTAAGCTGGTGAAGAAGTTTGTCCTTAAGCTGGGGTGAAGAAGTTTGTCTTAAGCTGGGGTGAAGAAGTTTGTCTTAAGCTGGGGTGAAGAAGTTTGTCTTAAGCTGGGGTGAAGAAGTTTGTCTTAAGCTGGGGTGAAGAAGTTTGTCTTAAGCTGGGGTGAAGAAGTTTGTCTTAAGGGTTCAACAGCAGACAAGGAGAGTGCCAACAAGGAGAGTGCCAACAAGGAGAGTACCAACAAGGAGAGTACCAACAAGGAGAGTACCAACAAGGAGAGTACCAACAAGGAGAGTGCCAACAAGGAGAGTGCCAACAAGGAGAGTACCAACAAGGAGAGTACCAACAAGGAGAGTACCAACAAGGAGAGTGCCAACAATGAGAGTGCCAACAAGGAGAGTGCCAACAAGGAGAGTGCCAACAAGGAGAGTACCAACAAGGAGAGTACCAACAAGGAGAGTACCAACAAGGAGAGTACCAACAAGGAGAGTACCAACAAGGAGAGTACCAACAAGGAGAGTACCAACAAGGAGAGTACCAACAAGGAGAGTGACAACTAGGAGAGTACCAACAAGGAGAGTGCCAACAAGGAGAGTGCCAACAAGGAGAGTACCAACAAGGAGAGTGCCAACAAGGAGAGTGACAACTAGGAGAGTACCAATAAGGAGAGTACCAACAAGGAGAGTGCCAACAAGGAGAGTGACAACTAGGAGAGTACCAACAAGGAGAGTGCCAACAAGGAGAGTGCCAACAAGGAGAGTACCAACAAGGAGAGTACCAACAAGGAGAGTGACAATAAGGAGAGTGCCAACAAGGAGAGTGCCAACAAGGAGAGTGCCAACAAGGAGAGTGACAATAGGAGAGTGCCAACAAGAGGTGACAAAAGGAGAGTGCCAACAAGGAGAGTGCAACAAGGAGAGTGCCAACAAGGAGAGTACCAACAAGGAGAGTGACAATAAGGAGAGTGCCAACAAGGAGAGTGCCAACAAGGAGAGTGACAATAAGGAGAGTGCCAACAAGGAGAGTGACAATAAGGAGAGTGCCAACAAGGAGAGTACCAACAAGAAGAGTGCCAACAAGGAGAGTACCATTAAGGAGAGTGACAACAAGGAGAGTGCCAACAAGGAGAGTGCCAACAAGGAGAGTGACAATAAGGAGAGTGCCAACAAAGAGAGTGACAATAAGGAGAGTGCCAACAAGGAGAGTGTCAACAAGGAGAGTGCCAACAAGGAGAGTACCAACAAGGAGAGTGACAATAAGGAGAGTGCCAACAAGGAGAGTGCCAACAAGGAGAGTGACAATAAGGAGAGTGACAATAAGGAGAGTGTCAACAAGGAGAGTGCCAACAAGGAGAGTACCAACAAGGAGAGTGACAATAAGGAGAGTGCCAACAAGGAGAGTGACAATAAGGAGAGTGCCAACAAAGAGAGTGACAATAAGGAGAGTGCCAACAAAGAGAGTGACAATAAGGAGAGTGACAACAAAGAGAGTGACAATAAGGAGAGTGCCAACAAAGAGAGTGACAATAAGGAGAGTGACAACAAGGAGAGTGCCAACAAGGAGAGTGCCAACAAGGAGAGTGCCAACAAGGAGAGTGCCATGAGAAACTCTGTATTGCTTGAATATCATGAAAAAAATGCATCTACACTCATCTTACTCGAGGTCAAACCTGATCAATTCCTATTCCCCAGGCACTGTATGACCCCTGTGGATTTAGCACTTTCCCAAGAAAATAATCAGACTTGCTTTAGTTGCTGTATGACTCTGGAGAGGTATCCCTGTATCTTATAATCCCAGTCTCCTCTACCTCATTTCTCAGAAATAAGCTATCTCTTGGAGATACGTGGATGAGCTTCCACTCCATCATGGAGGAGGATGAAGGAGCTTCCACTCCATAATGGAGGAGGATAAAGGAGCTTCTACTCCATCATGGAGGAGGATAAAGGACCTTCCACTCCATCATGGAGGAGGATAAAGGACCTTCCACTCCATAATGGAGGAGGATAAAGGACCTTCCACTCCATCATGGAGGAGGATAAAGGAGCTTCCACTCCATCATGGAGGAGGATAAAGGACCTTCCACTCCATAATGGAGGAGGATAAAGGACCTTCCACTCCTCATGGAGGAGGATAAAGGACCTTCCATTTCCATCAGGAGGAGGATAAAGGAGCTTTCCACTCCATCATGGAGGAGGATAAAAAGAGCTTCACTCCATCATGGAGGAGGATAAAGGAGCTTCTACTCCATCATGGAGGAGGATAAAAGAGCTTCCACTCCATCATGGAGGAGGATAAAGGAGCTTCTACTCCATAATGGAGGAGGATAAAGGAGCTTCTACTCCATCATGGAGGAGGATAAAGGACCTTCCATTCCATCATGGAGGAGGATAAAGGAGCTTCCACTCCATCATGGAGGAGGATAAAGGAGCTTATACTCCATAATGGAGGAGGATAAAGGACCTTCCACTCCATCATGGAGGAGGATAAAGGAGCTTCTACTCCATCATGGAGGAGGATAAAGGAGCTTCCACTCCATCATGGAGGAGGACTAAAGAGCTTCCACTCCATCATGGAGGAGGATAAAGGAGCTTCTACTCCATAATGGAGGAGGATAAAGGAGCTTCTACTCCATCATGGAGGAGGATAAAGGAGCTTCCACTCCATCATGGAGGAGGACTAAAGAGCTTCCACTCCATCATGGAGGAGGATAAAGGAGCTTCCACTCCATCATGGAGGAGGATAAAGGAGCCTCCACTCCATCATGGAGGAGGATAAAGGACCTTCCACTCCATCATGGAGGCGGCCTTACTCCACAAGAGAGCCATGGAGTGAGCATCTTACTTGACCATGTAGAGAATGGTGGAGTCGAGATGGAGCCAGAGGTAGTGGTTAGGGATGGTCATAGTCTGAAAGGTGACAGACTTGGCGTTCTTGAAGAACGCGTCTGGTCTCCAGATGTCCTTCAGCCAGGAGACGGGCAGGAGGCGGTACTCTCCAGTCATGTTCTGTGGGAAGCGTAGTCGATGGTCCTTCCAGCTCTGGGCGAAGAAGATGTCAGCAGCGTACGTCTGTGGGGAGAAAGATGTCAGTAGCGTATTTCTGTGGGGAGAGAGAGAGAGAGAGAGAGAGAGAGAGAGAGAGAGAGAGAGAGAGAGAGAGAGAGAGAGAGAGAGAGAGAGAGAGAGAGAGAGAGAGAGAGAGAGAGAGAATACAAAAGGATATATCAATAAAGTGGACAGGTAATTTTAAGGTGATCAATCTCTCAGCCTTGACATAAGGTGGTCAGTCCCTCAGCCTTGATATATGGTGGTCAGTCCCTCAGCCTTGATATAATGTGGTCAGTCCCTCAGCCTTGATATATGGTGGTCAGTCCCTCAGCCTTGACATAAGGTGGTCAGTCCCTCAGCCTTGATATATGGTGGTCAATCTCTCAGCCTTGATTTAGGGTCAGTCCTTCGAGACAAAACTTTATGAGTATACTAGACAGACTCTATATAGAGCAAATCTCTAATTAGAAGTTTCTTTTTGCTCTAAATACAACTTTATTGACTAGATAAAGCTCTATATAGAGAAAATTCATCAATAAATAAAGAGGGTGTACGCTTCACACAGTTTCTCTTTCTACCACACATAGAACAGCTCTTTCTATGTCTCTATGTATGCTGATCACTGCTCTAAGCCCAAAGAAAATTACATTTCAGCTTTTTGGAAGAAAAGTCGAGTTTTAAACCCAGAAAGCAGACGAGGTGAAGCTGCAGCCAGGGAAGGAATTCTTGGCTAACTGGGCCACCGCTGAGCGTTCTTATTCTCTGTTCTTGAGATGAACATGAACGCTAATGGTCAATGCATTTTCTTATGAATAGATCTGGTGCTCAGCGCTGCTGCTAGCGTCTAGAAGGCTTGGAGATTGTGTTTGTTTTTTTGGCTTGAAGGGGTCGAATCACCGCTCCTTGCTTCGTGTGCATGTGAGGCTTTATTTGTGTGTGTGTGGACACACACGCGTTTTAAAACACTTCTTAATATTCCAGGAGGAAATTAAAACCTCCAGTCAACCAATATACAATATTTATTTGCAGAGTAATCAGGACACCTTTCCTGGTCCTAATTACCCACCGTTTTCCCTTAATGAAGCTTTTCCCCAATAACACACCTATCTGCAAGCAACGAACCTACAATCTCACTTTCCTCTGTCTCCTGATTACACACACCTATTTGCACACCACCAAAATAGGAACAATTAGGTTGATCTTGCACAGATAAGACCATGGGAACCCAAAACCTAAAACCTCTGTCTGCCTGTCTCTCTCTCTCACTCTCTCTCTCACTCTCTCTCTCACTCTCTCTCTCTACCTCCAGAAGAAATATCTCTCATTATCTCTTGCATGAATTTTAAATACAGAGGAGAGATAGGCTGTTTTTTTTTACAGAATAAACCGCCAGCTTGGTTTAAGTAAAGCTTAAACCACATATTGTTTTATCTTAAAACTTGGGATACGAGACTCCACCCACAAATCCCCAAAACAAATTCCACATTTCTTCCTGGAACAAAAGTGGAATTTTGTATCGACGCAGCAGAAACAAAAAAATAAGAATTTTGTCCTGACATACACAAAACAAAAAGGAATTTTGTTATAGCACAATACCAAAAAAGTAGGAATTTTGTCACGGTAGACACTACACAGGAAGGAAATTTTGTCTGGAGACAATACCGACAAAAAGGAATTTTGTTTCTGTGCATACACTGGACCATTATCAAATACTGGAGGGAGTGAAACGTTTCTTATTGATTTAAAAGATCAATGTGATCTGAAAAATCCTACAAAATTCCTTTCGATTTTTTATTCGTGGGTTAGCTGCGATTTGTTCCAATCACGGTACAGTGGGCTAGTTATGATTTGTTCTAGTCGTGGTATTGTGGGCTAGTTTTGATTTGTTCTAGTCGTGGTATTGTGGGCTAGTTATGATTTGTTCTAGTCGTGGTATTGTGGGCTAGTTATAATTTATTCTAGTCGTGGTATTGTGGGCTAGTTATGATTTGTTCTAGTCGTGGTACTGTAGGCTAGTTACGATTTGTTCTAGTCGTGGTATTGTAGGCTAGTTATGATTTGTTCTAGTCGTGGTATTGTGGGCTAGTTATGATTTGTTCTAGTCGTGGTACTGTGGGCTAGTTATGATTTGTTCTAGTCGTGGTTTGGGGGCTAGTTATGTTTTGGGTTCTAGCCCGTGGATTGTGAGTAGTTATGATTTATTCTAGTCGTGGTAGTGTGGGCTAGTTATGATTTGTTCTAGTCGTTGTATTGTGGGCTAGTTATGATTTGTTCTAGTCGTGGTATTGTGGGCTAGTTATGATTTGTTCTAGTAGTGGTATTGTGAGCTAGTTATTTGTTCTAGTCGTGGTATTGTGGGCTAGTTATGATTTGTTCCAGTCGCAATATTGTCGGATGGTTATGATTTATTCCAGTCAAGGAATTCTAGGATAGTAGTCAATTATTCCAGTGGCGTATTGTGGACTTGCTGTGTATTGTTTCAGTCATGGTATGAGCGCGTGGAGAAATGAGAAACATGCGCCCACAATACGTGGAGAGATGAGAGACATGTTACCTCTCTTAACATTCGACCACACACCTAAGAGATTATTCTCACTGTGTCCCAAATTGAGTCTCACTTCCCTAGACCTCATTTAATGCGAATTTCTTGTACAGACGTCCAATATGATACATATATATATATAATATATATAAATATATATATATATATATATTTTATATATAATATAGGGAAGTACCACCTCTATAGCGGGAATGGGGACCCTCATCCTCAGAAAAGACAATAAACGACCTCAGAGAAAACTCAAGGTTCTCCCCGGAGCTGTTTGAATATTTTCTTCTCCTACCACCCCCTATATGTTTCTAATTCTATAGTAACATTTTTTAAATAAACAAAATACATTTACAGAAAAAAACATAAACATGAATACAATGGCACAATGTATCAAAGATGATGAATTTCCTCCAGCTCCTCCGAGGCGGACGTGAGCCAAGTATGCAGCAAGCATTTTCCCCCCTGGATGGCGACGCTGAGGCGCTTTGGAACTGAAAGTGGCTGCCCTTGGGGCCCTGGTGGTGTCGATGAGTCTGGAACCCAATTCTTTAAGGAAACGTGTGGCATTTTTTCCCCATGATCCCAAGGGCTCCGATCCCACTGGGCAAATTGATACTGTTGCTAATGTCCCTGTACTTTTTCTGATCTTGTCTCCTCCTGTGGGCCAGCCCGTCCCCTCCCTGTTGCCCCACACTGTATGGATATAGGTGTCAGCCAGTGTGGACACACAGGATAGTCCCATGCTAAGAGCTTGCCATTCTTCCAAGATAGATGGTGATCCCCTCGGGGCGGTTTGCTGGGTTGTGGGGATTGTTTGCTGCAAGTGATCGTGGCTCCCTCTCGGCAGGGCATCCAGCTGTAGCAAGGGTTCTCTTAATGATGTCGGTTGACCTCATTGTGTCTTGCATGCCAGCCCTTGGTTTTGGAACAGTTTAAGACCATGTAGTTTCCCTATTGGTCTGCTTGCACTTCGCCGCAAATACACATATATTCTGTGTGAATTGGGGGAGCAAGGCGCAGAGCCACTGCAATACGGAGGGTCTTAGGTCGAGTCGCGTTCCCATTGCCGATATGGGAACTGTTTGGAGGAAGTCCCGGAGTGAGGTGCCTCACAGCCTGGAGACGGGCAACTCCCTATCTGAGTTGAGCCCTGAGCATGTTGGCAAGCACCTTTTCAGCAATTGGGCTATCCCAGCTTGACTGTTTTTTGAGCCCCGTGCGCACTAGGGTTTGGTGCTGGAGCAGCAAGAGTCCTCCCATTCGGTGATGGCACTGACATAGCTAGGGTCTTCTATTCCTGCTGAGTCACGAGGGTGTCAGGGAAAAATTTGTCTTTTCAACTCGTTTGATGCAATGGAAGAGGATAGGAAAGCTGGTAGAGCAATCTGGGAGGATCTGCGTATTCCTAGCCCTCCAAGCCTGACCGGAAGTGAGGCTTTCAACCACTGTCCATCGTCAAGGGAAAATCAATAACTCCCCTAGCATGGCCCTTTAGGAGAGAGTCATATTCCTTGAGTTTTGGACTGCTGAAGGCTGGGAGCATCTCAGAAAATAGGGAAGTTTTGGCGTTGACAGGCACCCGGTGAGTAGGTAGAAAGGCATCGTGTGTGTCAATGTCTTCATCCTGCTTTCCATCGTCCGGAGGTCTTTAGACTTTTTTTCCTAGGACCAATCGATGGCATTGGACCCAAGAGGAGCACCGAGGAGAGTGCTATTGGCTGGATCAATGGCTCGTGCTCCTGGTAAAACGGTACTAATATTCTGTATCAAAATGTGATTTGGGAGAAACTATTTCACATTTGGAGGGGTTAAAAAAAAGGCCCAGGCTTTCTCCCATGTCTTTAATTTTACTGATGTCCTCCAGGAGAGACTCTGTTGTGCCAGCCAGGGTACCGTCGTCCAGGAACCAGATATTGAGCTCGCAGGTGATATCAGAATATGCAAAACAACCACTGTGAAATAATAGAGAAATTCCAAGCGCTTTCGTGACTACTCACATTATCAAGGAACAATAAAAGTAATGCATCAAAGGAAGGCATATAAAGGGTCTAGCCCACACCTCACTATCACATCCCACAACAAAGCAACACCTGATGCGCGACTCATAAGAAAGGGAACACTGCAGCAGGCCCGCTGGCCCAATTAGACAGGTCCTTCACACAACCCACCAACAAACTATTCTACCCAAGAACTAAGAATTTTAAAATTTATTATTTGTCCAATGTATTATTAAATTCTTCTCAAATTCTATTAATTATAAATGGATCTAATTTATATAAACCAAAGGAAATATTCATATTATTGTCAAAACTGCTTTTTATGAAACAAGATTCAATTATATTTCTGTTAGACAAGTGAAAAATTCCCGGTATTAAGATCCCAAGATGTTACTGTGTCAGACAGGAACCATTCATCTACATTCCTGTTTGACACAGTAACATCTTGCGATTTTAACACAGGGAATTCT